TATTTCGTCATCATGCTTTGTTACCTTACCTGTTTATACCTCATGAGGGCGCATTTTTATGGCAAGATGGCGCAAACGGGAGTCCATCGCAGGTTTATGGTTTCTCATATTTAAATCACCATAACTCTGAAGATAATCATTTTTTTTAATTTTTTTTTTCAAATTTATAATCAATATACATAACTTGATAAATACAAACACCAAAATAGGCTCTATTTAGTTCCCCTTTAATATCATGATGGGAACTTTATGACCAGTTGTCAAAGCAACCTTTGATGGTTTTTCATAGATTTTGTGAATTAACCTAGAATGGATGCTATAAAAGAAGACACAAATTGTTGGTTCAGCTCATCAGTGGAGTAGTGCACCACAACTCGTCCATTTATATAAAAAGTACAAAAATTAATTTTCACTTTTTTGTCGGAAAAACCATCCCCCTGGCATTAATATGTCATGTCATCCAAGTATGTTTGATATGATAGATTATTTTATAATCAAAATATTTAAAATAAAAGTTTAATTAATTAAAGTAGCTGAATTGCAAAAACTAGAATTAGTCATGAATATTAATAAGCTCATGAATATTAATCAGCAATCAAGTTAGGTTGGGTAGAACTGCCATATTTTAATGACTCGTACATTAAATACAATTTTTGATTTATATCTGTATTGAATAGAGATGCGTTTCTAGTTGAGCAAACAATATTTATATCTTTCTGAGTATTCAGATTTTGATAATATTAAAAACACATTCATTATTCGCTTGGTTTAGTTAATCAGTGAAACTAAAACCATGGAAGACACAATATTAGTGATCTTGATTTTAAAATTGAGTGAACAGTGAAATTTAAACCCTGTAACAAAAGTACTCGTAGAGTAATCTCATTATAAGCAGTTATACAAAACGAGAAAGCAAGTCTCACCTGTTAATAAAATCAATAGCTACTCCTTTTAATTGGTCGGCACTATGTAAATCGGCTAAAACCAACACATCACAGACGTTTTCTACTGATAGGTTCGTACACAAGGCTTCTTCGCACATTACCTTAAGCCTTTCAAGCGCGTACTGAAAGAAATCAAAGAAAATATAATTTGTAATTACATATATAAACAATTTGCTGTCAAGCCAAAGCAAACATGAATTCAAAACTTTTGGAAGAGAGTGTCGAAATAACTTGGAATGGAATGTTCTGCAAACATAGGGCTATACATAAAATAAGAGACAAAAATGATTTCAAGGGTCACTACTAACAGTGTCAGTCCCCCCCCCCTTAATAATATGATAAATAGAGAATCAAATACTGTAAAATACTTTATTTTCGGTTTGAATTGATTTTTGCTGAAGTAGTCATTCAAGTGAAAATAAAATCCAATGAGTATACCTTTTTTCCTATATTTTACATTCAACTCACTAAAAATCAGTGAAAGTAAATTTCATACAGAACACCCAAAAAGTCTTTTCATCTTTCCAGCTGAAATAAAGTATTCCACAGTACATGTCAATAAATGAACACAGCCAGTTCAAGTGTATTTTATACCAAGCATAATATTTACGTTAGTAGGCAACATATGTGGAGAATTGCTTATTCATGAGACATAATGATAAATTATTCATTTATGGTCTGTAATATGAGCTAAAAATGTATTAAAGTTCCTGTTAATGTAAAATGAATTCGTGTATGTGGCACATGTACTTCACATACCATTGCAACATAATGTAAATCACTATAAGTTCACAAAAGATGAATATTGGTGAGGGAGGCGAAAACTCAAAGTTATGTAGCAGTGAAAACTTCACTAAGATCATTAAGACACAAAAGTCACATTGCCTTTCATAAATATGCTCTTTAAATTAATTTTAAATTAACTATTCTATGTTCTCTCTCGTAAAAGTTAGAGCAAAGTATCAGCATTTTTCATTGACAATAGTTTAATTTATAATTTTTAGTTTAGTTCAATCGATATATCTATATAGTAAGCTAGAACAAAATCAATACATCAACTGAAATGACCACCAGTCAGTCATTTTGAAATAAAGTATATCTGAACATGTGAAGATTTTAAATTACCATTCGGTTGTTCATCTAATGCTAAAATCACTCTACACCAAATCAGACACTGCATCAGGCACAATAAGAAACCCTCAACTTATTTGGGAGAGATAGCAAAAACTAAAACATTACCTTGTCAGCTGCAGAGAGCAGATCATCTGCCATTTTCTCTAAATTAGGTGCTTTTCCTGTATATATAAATCTTAGCATTTCTCGAAGTACTTCATGATCAACGTCTGTAATTTCAACTCTGTTTAATTTTTTCTCTTCCATTTCATGCTCAAACATTGCATTGAATACAGGAGACCGAGCTGAAATTAATATTTCATGGTATTTAATCACTATATCAAACCCTACTAGGATGGAATTAATTTAATAGGTTATCATAGAATAGTACACTACTGTAACAAGTAAAGTTATCTATAGTGCCAAATGTGTTACTGCTCTAAATATTAAAAATCTCCAATAGAAGTGCATGTAACCAATACTTTCATATATCATACAATGGATTATTACAATGTAACTTATTTTGACCAGAAACACACCTCTGCTTTGTTTGCAAGTACATGTGCTACGAATAGAGCAAATACTGTATACAATACTGTCTAGAAGTCTCACTGGAATACATAATATTGTATTTCCCCCATGAGTGTTGCATGGCCTTACATAAATTACAGAGGCATTTGTATGATTAAAATAAGTATATAATAAATGCAATTGTTGGTATGTGATTCTATTGGAGATGCTCTCTCATAGAGCAATATACATGCACATATGTTATGTCATTATAATTATCCAATAATCTAATATTATAAAAGTGAGGATAGCTGTGATTTTAAACAATGTTACCGAAATATTGTTTTAGACACAAATGCATTGGCAAAATAACCATACACAAGGCCAATATAGCATAAAATGAGAAGTGAAAATAAGAGGCCGTCTGAGAGCGGCTAGCTGAGAGAGGCTAGCTGAGAGACACTTAGCCTCTTAAGTTGGCAGAGTATTTGACATTTCATCCAGAACACTTAGAAACAGAAATTGGGGAAAAAAGATCGATAATTACAGTTATTGTCGCTTCAAACTATTGTACTCAGAAGTGAAATTTTTAAATAAGATTTGTGTACTTTTACACATTTAGCCATAAATAAGTCATTCAATTTGACTCTTCATGCATTGTGTCCCCTCGAATGTGACCAAAATGATTTATATGCGACTCCCACACTCGCTACATTCACAGTCCTACTACACATTGTGTTGGTTGATACTGTTGAATGCTCTGAATGCACACTTTGTAGAATTCTCACAAACTCATCTGTTCACATATTTCAATGTTTCCAAGATGGCAGATGAGATTTAAAATGACCTGCAGCGTTTTTTCACCACTTTGCCAACACCAATTGATTAGATTGCACAGATGTAAAACAATAAGGTTATTACAAGGTCATCATAAATTATGTACCTTGAACAAAGTCAAATCGACCTCAGATACTCTGTTTTGTCTTTGTGCATACTTTGCGATAATGTGGCGGTGACAACAGTTAATTATCATTAACACTTGGGAATTGTAGCTTGTCAGCAGACAAAAATAAATAAACAATCACCCAATTCGGTGGTCATAGAAACCATAGTTTGATGGGTAAATCAAAATCTGTAAGGAGTTCCTTGAATAGCTTGACAGTTGGGCAGCCAATGGGGGTGGTTTGATTTCATTTTGTAAGCAGTTATACAGTGAAAGGCAGAAAACTGTACCTTAGTTTATCAATATTCAAATATTTAATAATGATTGGCTTCACATTGTCTACACCCATCATGCGCACACATGTCTTCAAGTGACCTAACAACTGTGACTGTCCACTTATTCAAAATGAAGAGCTTGCTGATTGAATGATGTTTGATCTAGCTTGTTATTATTACCGTACTCAACCGCGTTAGCACCCAGGGGCCTAAACTCAGAAAATCACTATTTTTTAGGGGTGGGCGCTTACCCGAGCACCCCCCTTGAAAAAGAGTGCAAATGAAAATTTTTATTCATCAAGTGAAAGATTACGTCTTTGAGAGAAAATCAAATTACAAAATTAGTTGAGTCGTCATTGATTTTCACAATGAAGAAACAGATCACAAAAAATGTGCACATTTTATTACAATATTAATTATGTACCACCAGAATTTACAAAATTAAAAACATTTGAGTCTGTTGGAACACAGTCGAAGTCAAAATTGTCATATTATCTCCACTAACGAAGGTGTTGGATCGTACGCAAACTCTTGATGAAAATCACTTTCCGCCATGATGCATTTGCAGATTTGACCTGCAGCAGCATCCTTTGACCTAATGGGTCAAGTTGGTTATTAACCAATCAGAATGCTGTGTTGTACTGACGCAATTCTTCGGAAATTCCCGAAGACTTTCCGGTAACGCAATGCGGAAGTGAATTATCGATGTCGAAGTACAATCTGTTGGAATTGATTTCAGCGAATAAATGACATGGTTTTTCAAAAAAACTAGTAACTAGCCATTTTTAAGAGGTAAACTGAATATGGTATGAAATATTTACCGCATTTTACTTGTATTAACAGGTCATTGTCGAAGCGTAGTTTACGCACGGTTACCGTGTTCTACGCATTCACAACATTTTCACAACGGTCGATATCCATGTTGTATCATATAAAAACGATTACCAAGATTTGTTACGCAAGACCAAGTTTTAAATTAATTGCATTTTGAAGGGGTGGGCGCTTTGCCGAATGTGACCCCAAATATAAAAATTGCGCAAAAGTGGACCCGGCATGGGCACTAACGCGGTCGAGTACGGTATTATTAACTGGAACTCGTGATGATGTCGCCATATCATTCTTGGATTGGTCAATTTGAATTCTAGCAGCAGCAGTCATTTTGACTTATTAAAACTTAAATTTATAAAACGTTTATAACATGCCCAGCTTTACGCCTTTCACTGTATTACACCAAACAAAACATGTCATAACATACACGTTATGAAACCATAAATTGAGCCAACAATGCATGTATACGTCATGACAATACATACCTGCAAGTATTGCTTTATGTGCTTGATATTCTCTGCCACTCACTGATAATGTGACATCACTAAATGATGATTTCTCCCATAGTATACCTAGATCATCAGCTAATCTACATTCAGGCACTTTTAACTGGGTTTGATTCGACTGTCCTGATATGTTAACTGAATCGGCTACAACACTCACCTATAACAAAGTGTATGTTAGGAAATCAGATGTTGGCAATATACATCAACCCTTAGCTGGCCAGCCTTGTGTGTACTTTTACATTAACTTGACCAGGATGAGTATTGACACGTTACATTGTATATAGAAATGATTCTATTAATATTCCCACCACATTTTTTTCATAATTTGACGTCACAGTTTATTGGAGATTACCTCCAGGTGTTGGGCACAACTTGGAGCCCGGAGTTAAGGATTAAGACTACTTGAATGTTAATTGTGAGCGACAAATGAGAAAATAATATTCAGTCTCAGATATTGTTTTATGTGAAAATGTTTATTTATCTGACATTTGCATTTATTCTTCGTCATCACATTTTTTTTCTGAAACCATGTTTTATGGATTAATACCAGCATATTGTACAATATATAGAATATTAATATTTAAGTATGATCTACATTCCCTTATAGTTTACAGCCAAGGTCTCGTAACTCATATCAGTTGCAAATAATTGAACAATATAATATTATATTATAATTATAATATTCATGTACATGTACTAGTACTATACATGTATTATTTGCTTGGTGTACCTTAATCGAATGAGTCACTATGCAGAAAATGTGTGCAGGTAGAAAAAACTATAGTGGTGTACATCTATAATATTGGATTGAATGTTTTTCTCGATGTTTATCCAAGCCACTCCAGATTAAACAGACAAAAGCATTTTATTTTAGTTACGCTATATGTTAAATTGAAATAGTAATTCACTGTTTCATATTTCTTTATTAGAAAAAAATAACAATTTAGCTCGAGTTAACAGCATCATCAAACACAATCTAGCATTTTCCATAATAGCTAGACTACTTCATAGCATAAAGGAGCCTTTAGCTAACCAATGCTGTGTGCCCTTAGCTCTCAGACTCACTACACAACAGCATTCCATGTTTTCTTTGGGTTATTTTTGTCATGTTATCAACAATAATCTCTACTGACAGTTTAACCTAGCTGTTCATACCTACATGCTTGATGTGACCAAACAATCCAAAGTCTACCTTTTTTTTCACATGATTGCTCATGATTACCAAAGCAGAGTTTTAATTTCTCTGATGGTTTCCTGTCCTGCAGGATCACATCACAAAACCCAACATATCACATACTTTCTCTCAAGCCTAATTAAATCATTTTGATGCTAAAATTGCTAAACTGATTCAACGTGAAAGCGTGCGTGGAACAACAATAGAACTCATTGTTTTCCTGCCAAGTTTGTGAGCTTAATTAAAACCCAGTGAAATTGCTCAAAACATCAAATAATTGAAATTAGATGCCGGTTAAAATAAATGATTTTACAGTAGATTCTACTAACTTTAGTTTAAAATTTTGAACAAAGAAAAAAAAATAGATGCAGACTATACTGAAATCAAGATTGGTGAACACTAATTTCATAGAACTAGATCGTCTCAAACTTCTAGGTATTCCTAATTTTCACTGTTATTATTCCTTTAAGAGACACATATTCTGCGATATCATTCTTTTTATGGGTGATCAAAGCATTGCAACAGACACAACCCACCCTGAGCATTATAATGTGAACAATTTGATAAGAACCAATATTTGTAAGAATTTAGCTTCCTAAGCCAGCCAATATTTTTCTCGTAATATTTATCTTCCATGTCATTTTATCATCTGGACTTTACAGTACTATCGACATATCCGATTCTATACTAACCTCACAAAATAAAGTCAGCTTGTCATCTGGTAAAAGACCATTTGCTTCATCCATTAGAAAATCACGTCGTATAAATTTCTTGAAACCCCAATCTTTACCTTGTACAAACCTGTACGCTCTCTGGCTTTCTGTTAATCAGAACAATACACATAAAATTAAGCATAGGAGGTGAATTTTACAGAGGTTACAATTTATTATGATATTCAGTTTTAACATTTTTTACTTCCCAGTAAAACAGAAGTGCTGATAGAATAGGAGTGTGCAGTTTTATATAAGATTCCATTTTGAATACCTTGCCAATACCTTAATTTCTCACTTAAAATATTATAATCATTGTCTTATGCAATTAAAAATGGCATTGCCATGGTGAGACTTACTGCACACTCCTCTTCTGCATAAAGCCGAAACAGCATAAACAATGACAAAGTCACTATATAAAACTGACTTCAAAAAAACAATAATACCGGTATGCCTTTCGGTCACCCACCCCCACCCCTAACTAATCCATGGATTCTCACCATGATGTGTAAAATTTCAGAATGTATTTGAATGGGGGTAAAGAAATGAGCATTCTGCTAAAACCTTGAGACTACACCACTGTGGCTATGGAAATACAACATTTTAGATTACACAGTTGATAAAGCTTTTACAGATATGTATTAAAGAAATCATAAAAGTTATTTAGAAGCAGTTAAAAACAATTTTTTTTATTAATTTTCAAAAAATATCTTCACTCAATGAAATTAAAAAAAAAAAATTGCTCATCGCCCCTGGATTTTTCGTATCAACAATTTGACTGTTAAAATCTGCAGAGCAAGAATATTATTACTGATGAGATGGACATGCATGTTCTATTACACATCATTTCATGGTTCACTTCTTCTTTAACTGTTTCAACATTTTGCCAGCACATGTGCACAAAGACATATTCAGACAGTGCCAGGGTAGTTAGAGATTTGTTTTCAGTATACAAACACATAATCAGCTTAATACAATGCTGATATTACTGACTCGCACATAAATATAATGACGCCATTCCAGAAAAATAGGCTGTTTGCATGAAGATAAATCAGTCAGTACTTTAATAGTGATTAAATATTAAAGATGACTAATACACAATATGGGGGTTGGAATCAAAATAAAATATTGTTAAATTAGCTAGCTGCAAACTGAATCAGCTAGGATATACATTAAAAAAATAAATTGAAATACAGGTTAACTGAATTCCAGAAATTACTTAAGAATGCAAGTTAATTAAATTAGTCGACTAGACTACCAAAAACTAAAATTATACTCAAAGCATTGGGAAGGAATGAAATGTTTAAAAACAACACATAAATTAGAATACTTTTATTCAGAATTCATATGAATTTGTGAAATTATTGTTTCTCTATCATCAAAATAAATCTAAATACATAATAAAAGTGACAGGAGTACATTAGATGCTTGACATGATGATGACTTACCCATGGCCTTTGTTTCTTCTCTCTTTGCATTTAATATTGAAAATTTGAATTTAGCCCTGACTTCACTTTTATTACAGGAAACTAGGAGTAAATATAATGATAAGTAGTCTTTGCTTTCTTCATCAAGACCTTTAGGATTCACCCTCAAGCACCTGACATAGGAAAAAAGTATGACAACATTCAGTGCATGTTCAAGTCCATCCTCTACACCGACCCCCCCCCCCCCTTCAGTAAAGGTTACATACCGTATTTACTGTCTTAGTAGCACATGCACTGACATAAATACCAGAGGGTAAATCTACAGCCATAATGCAGCCATATTTTAATAATCCAGTAAGCAATAAATACATAAATGTTGGTTAACATGTGTTTCTATTGGAGATATGAAATACGGTAAATCCGAGTTCCAGTCATTGTGCCATGCTGTGATCAATGTCGAACACATGTGATTTGACAGTGGCACTTAAACGTAGCCAATCACATCTGCCTGCTCTGTACTATGTCAGATTTACAAATACATCAAACTGTACCTAGGACAATGAAATTTCAACACTTTGTACTCGTAACTACAGTAACAGTTATAGTATAAATGAATGCTAAAAGTTGTTAATACAACAATCCCAGCCACAATAAAACAGAAAATAAAAATTATAGTATGCAGAGTTTTAAATTGCACTATGAAATGAGACTTAGATTGATAGTGTTATGCGACATATTAATTTGATGATATGATTTTCAATTGTGTTCAGACAAACATGGAATTTTTTTTTACTAGTTTCTGAATTACTATGGTTTGGAAAAATCCTCCAAGTGTCTTACATTTTGAGCGTATTCAATTAGGGCTCATAGTACAGGTGACATCAATAGTGCAACTCTAAGGTCATTTGCAGGTGTTTTGACCTAGATAATAATGCGACAAATTCATCACCATATTTTATTTCAAAAGTGCTACTTAATTATTGATTTTGACATATACATTGCCGTTGAGTGTTCTTACTAGGTACAAATCCTGGTTTTAGAAAAAAAACATGTAACAAAATGCCAAAAATGAGCATTCTTGGAACAATTTCCATAATGATCCATGTAAAGGCATTATTTCACGGAAAATAAATAATATTTCCAGGAATCTCTCAATAATTTGTGACAATCAGAATTACCCATCTAATAATAACATACTATTTTTTCAATATAGTGGTATATAATAACACCAGGGAATCTGAATATTCATCTCTGATACCTGCAAATCACCCTTAAGCTCTATGTGTTCTGAATAAAAACCATCATCATAAATTATGCTGCCTGTATGAAACACTACACTACTTGATACATGTACTATTGAAATATGACAAGGAATCTGGCACAAGTTGATTAAAACTAAGATGGAGAGAAGCTATGTGGACAAACTAGTTTTATTAACCAATTAATATGCCACATTGCCATTTACTTAATTGCTGAGGTTCATTTATATTGTTTTATTAGTAGAATTATGTGCTTACATAATTTATAAAGATGTTTCTATGGTCGCAATAAGTGAAATGTTTTTGGTTTGCATGTGCTTTTTATTGAGGATGTGCTTCACATATAGCAGATACAGTAATAATTTTTCCGCTGCTCTTATGCCTAGCAAATACCGAATTCGGCTGATACCTCGCCCTTCGTGATCTCATGGAGGATTCAATTTTTTTTAAAGAAAAATGTGGACCAAAAGATCCTCCTGGCGATGTTATGGCAGATATTACGAAACCCATCTTGTCTGAAAAAATAATTAATACATTGGTGAGAGGTCGCATTTTACGTGAACAAGAACATGCACTAAGAAGGAAAAGCAAGCCAAAGTCGAAACGGGGTGACACAACATGGACATGACAACACACGCTGCGATTGGAACGCAATTGTACTTCAAGTAATTTGCGAAACTTGCTGCGTGGCGATGCTGACACCAAGTGTGTGTTGACCGAAGTTTTACCTTTTTCTTTCGTGCTCCGCGAGTCAATCTAGTAAAAATTAAAATTGTTATTATATCTGACGGTACTTGTATGCAACTCTGGCTTTGAATATATCAACATTGTTTACTTTAGCGCACTGCTTTTCTAATTAGCTAATTACGCAAATTTGTTTACAATATTGTACCGGCTCTGAATATTTGAACTTTTTTTAATGTATTGCTTTCATGATAATTACGCAAATTCAAGTTATTTTTTACTATTGGTAGGGCACTGACCCTGGGTATTGGGTCTGTGAATATTTCAATATTACCGACTTGATAATGCGTTGCATTCGTAATAATTACACAAACATGAACATGGACGCATTTAAATCATTGAAAAGGATTGTAGACAGGAGTCTACGAAAAGTCGAGAAAATATTTTAAATACTTGTGATTCATCAATGTTCCAATGGTGAATTATTTTATTCAAAATGAAGTGAATATGTAATATAAACCATACCATGCGTCATGTTAAATTTTACTATAATATAATAAACTTGATCGCATTATTCACGTACATTTCAACTGAACTCTAATAACCACGTGTTTGAATTACGTGTGGCATTGGGCAATGATCTCCAGACTTAATGCACTGATATTTAAATTCGGGCCACCCAGCTTGACGCAAATCAATATACATGTAGTTACTTATCATTTGTTCAAAAAATCTTTCAACTCTCACAAATACCATGAACGCGAAGAGTTAACTGAAATGGAACGTCTTTTTTGGACAAAAAACACGTCAATACAAGATTATGTGTACAAAGTTAGATTTATCGAATGTACATGGCCGTTTAACTTAGTTTTTTTTAATAATTATGTCGAATGTGAAACGCAGGAGACATTTTAGTTCGCCTATATTTTGTTTACCGATCTGGAACTTTTTGTCTGGAATGCGATACAGACAAAGATTAAACATTAATGATACCTACTGTTGTCAAATCAACCAAGAGGCCCGAATCAGGAAGGCTTGGCTATTTTAAACTTTGTAAATAGCATTCTTTTTAGGCGTAGACTTTATTCGAGTGTAATGAACGCAAGTGAAATGTAAAGTTATGACTCTTATTCATGAAATAGGTGATAAATACTTGCATAAAATACAAGCATATACCATTTTTTCATGCAACAACAATTCTACAGCATTGGATTTACTGGATTTTTACGCGTTTCGACTTCAATATTTTTAGCGTCACATTTGAAAAAGCGCGCTCGATGCAAGATGTCGGACGGGAAAATTGGGATCTGAAAAAAATGTTTGTTGGTTCAGTCAGGCAATGTGTGGACCAAACATCGCCCACTATTTGAAACATCGCCCATGGGCGGGGTTTAGGATGGGCAGGGTTTAGGATGGGCGGGGTTTAGGATGGGCGGGGTTTAGGATGAGGCGGGGTTTAGGATGGGGCGGGGTTTAGGATGGGGCGGGGTTTAGGATGGGCGGGGTTTAGGATGGGCGGGGTATCAGCCAAATCCAGTATAATTGAAGGGCAATTTGAAAAAATCATAATATGTTTATCTTGTGCTATGTTGATACAACACAGCTGGATCCAAGTATAATTTGTCAATTTATTCTTCAATTATATTTTCAGAGTAAAATCACCCACACACCAATTCAATGCTCTCCTTTCAATTGAATTGCTTCAAAGCTGCCATACAATCAAATCGAAAGCATTCAACAGAATACAAAATGGGGTCAATGACCTGTAAGGACTTGTTAAGAAAAAAACATTCATTATGTGGCAACCGCAAACATTTCATTTATTAACCAAATAACACTACCCCTAGATGAACTGGCAATACATGACCTTGAATTGACCTTTTAGCTACCCACAAAAGCTTATTACCCACTCACAATGAAACCTTATAAAAGATTACAAGTTTAGTGAAATGGAACTAGTAATTGGTACAGGTTATTTAGAGGACAAAGTATTTAGGTGTGTGCATAGGATATTACTAGATTTCAACAGCAACAATTTACGAAATAAACCATGAAGGCATGGCATATTCTCTATTAGATCTAATAGAAACCATTAGATTTATTACCAAATTTTATCGAGTATTATCCGCGGATGTAACTCCATAGTCGACTTGTAAGATGGCTCTAAAACCATTTTCTATTAGATCTACGGTAATAGAAATGACTAGATTTATCACCGAATTTTATCTGATATTATCAGAGAAAAACTACCTCAGGTGACTTGGAAGATGGCTCAAATAATATTCTCTACGAGATACATTAGATTTATTATCGGCAACATTCTTATATAGTAGATCTATTAGAAACAATCAACCGATATCCCATACCAATATTTTAATTTATTTGATGAGTTCAATTAATTCAATAGTTATATTATCGATAACAATATCTGATAAGGCTACAATGTTGCACCAAATAAACCATACAGCTGATGCATAGATATAAACAAAATATAGAATGCTTGGTTTGTAGTCTCCATGGACATTCCACAGACTGGTATGACAAATATGCTTTAGGGGTTGAACATTGGCAAGTATGGAGGGGTTGATTTGAAGGGGAAAACATACACACACATTTGATACAGGAAAGCAAACAAAAAATGTCCAAGGAAGTTTTCGACGGGTAATGCGTTTAAATGACCACCTCATCTTGCAACTGAACCATCTAACAAATGTACATGTGAACATGTGAACATGTGTGACATGATGTATATATAAAGTTTAACCATAATTGGTTAAGGCATGTCAGAGATAAGGCTTTGGAACAGCAATCATTTAAAACAAAATGGCCAGTCCGCCATATTCATATGAGAACCTGTTTTGTAATGGCAGAAATGCTTTATTTGGTGAATTTTTACCATAAAATGGTTGCGATTCAGTCATGCATGGACATGCACGGTGTATGTGAAAAGTTTAAATGTGACAAAGAGGACGCACACACACATGCAGATGTACAAACACATGGAGGTCAAACAGAAAGTTTTGTACAAGAAATAAAAACAAAGTGAGAAAAAACAAATGCATAGGTTGTCTACTATCTCCCCTCCCAGAGTTAATATTAGATTTGCATCTCTGGCAAGGGCTACCTTTATCATAATGGGGCTACTATATACTGCAGTGTGGGAAAACACACTGTTAAATATATGAAATCAAGAGAATTGTTGATCAAATGTCACTAATTGAAATATGTGTTTTATGCATCAAAACTGCAAACATGTTTCTATGACTTTTACGTTCATGCTTCATTAAAATAACAGCTTAGCTGATACTATCAATTTTCAAATGCAACAAAATAACTGACTGAAAGTAAGAATAGATTTCTCTAAAACATAGATGTATGGTAATTCTTACCATTTGAGTTTATCATTAGCTCCAGCAGAAAACGTTGAGCTCTTTAACACCTCTCCCATCTCTTCTCGACAGAAGCTAAAATTGTTTATTGTCCACATGTACGAGAACTTGACCACCTTCACCTGAGAAATGAAATAGCACTGTAACTATTCTAGAAACATGATTTGTAAAATACAAAATGTTAGTGAAAATAATTGTCAATGTTAAACTTACTACTAAGTAGCATTGCGTCATGGGATTTTTAGTCTCGAGACTAAAAATGACTTACCGTAGGCATCATTTTTCGCAAAAAAAAAAATGCAATTTTTGCAAACGCCACGCTTGTTTTAATTGGTTGCAGGCCTTCAAATTAAAATAAGAGACAATACAACTTTAAATTGTCACACCCTGCGTGTAACATACACCATTTTGTAAGTTACATAATTATAAATCTGACTCTCATATGTAAAATGCATACGAATGTGTTCGAAAGTGGACGCAGTTGAATATCATTCTTATTTGGTAATTGTACATCACATTTCTGTCACATGCAAACTCTTTCCATTGTTAACTTTAGACACAGAAGCACTATCAATGTATGATGGAACATTGATAATGTGAGATGGAAATAGAATCCTGTCAAACGTTCAAACAGTGTAAAACATTTTGGGTTGTTATCTCTCATTGAATTATTACTATAAGTAGATAAAAGATGTATAATAATAAGATTATCACAAAGGCAGTAGGCTTTAGGGCATCGACCTCCACTACGCGCCAGTTGATATGGTTACCTTTCTGCATTCAAGCATATTTAAAGATTTTCTCGTAATAACCTCATATTATTTGTTTACATGAAATTTATGTATTGCTATTTTTTTCTTTATTGCAAATCCCCCTCCCCAAGATGAGCAAATAGCTGTATAGCTAATCTTTGTTATTGCAGAAATACATTCACACTGTTTTTCTACCTTGTAGATGCATTCATGTCGGTAGTTGCAGTCACACCGCTTCTACCTGCATCTACTAATTCTAACAATACTACTCAGAAGTTTAGTATAATGCTTTTATTTTCAGCTATATATTTATTTCACAGCTTGTTTTCTATCGTTCCATGTCTGGATGCTATCAATACAGAATATGTATTTGCATTTGCAAGTTATTCTGTATGGTGCATAGCCTATTAAAGTGGGTGAGCTCCACTGATGACATTTACTACTGACTTTCCAGTATGATAATATTAATCCAGTGTAATAAACAATTTTTTTTTTCACTTTTATAAAACAACTTCACTTGCCCAATACTGAATAGAGATTCAAAATAAATATTTTTATTTTGTTGCCTTAAATTTGTCCAAATAACTTATTTGTATTTGTCATCAATTAAGGATATTCATCCTGAGTATAACCATATTGAAAAGACTTTTAAAATTCAATTATTAATCCAATTACATAAATTTTCTATAAGATGACCAACCCAAATTGATAAGATAAAAATATACATCACATTTAAAATTAAATTATCTTATAATTATCATAATTTTCATGGACAAAATATTGATGTATACAAAATAATCATACTGCACACATACCTGAGTATAACACCAGTTTTCTGCCACAGGCGGGGAAGACATGATGTCAGATGGAGGAGGAGTCGGCACACGTGATGTCGCCAGTTTGATACCCTCAAACCAATACCCAACAAAGATTTGTAAACAGTAAGGAAAGAATTGAGAATACACCAACACACAAATCTGAAAAAAAAAAGAAAGATCTTTCATTATTTAAATGACCTACTTAAAATGACATGAAGGACAACAACCTGCCACAACCTGTGCACAGAGGGTTATCTATAAATTTAGAACAGTTAAATAAGCTATCATGCGCTACTTTGTTGAGGTCGTTGCAAGTCTGAACTTTCGACGAACATCGGATTTAATAATAACATATGGCAATAGGGTAAAGGTAAAGACAGTTATGACCCACTGCTGATATGTAATTTTCCCACACACAACTTCCTCAATAAAAAATTTTACCCTGCAATGTTTTGTTTTTTTCTGTACAAATGAATGCTGGTAATAGATGAAATATGGTGTTAATGTCTGGGACGGACTGTCAGTGTTTCGACTAACATTCTATTTCCTCACTTTAAGCAGAAGGTACAAATATGATTTCTACAACACATTCCAAAATAAGAAACTACCCATTTGAATGGCATCATTTTCCTGGCCAAAATTTTGGTACAGCATTTTGCAATTTTTTTTACTTATTTTTTAATTCTGAAACAAATAGACGCAATTTCCTTTCCTCCTTTGATCTCGTTTTTTTTAAATATTGAAAAAAAACAATGCAGAGTATATTCAGTAAAATGTGGAAAATATTACTAGTATTCAGAAATTGTTATTTTTGATACAATTCCATAAAATCCAACGTTGAAGCAAAAACAATTTTTTGATACTTTTTAGAACCTAGACTTTTGAAATCAGGATAACAAAAGAAGCCAAACTGTCAAAGTATACATAAAAAACATACATCTTTTTTTTTACTTTATGTCACCAGCCTACAATTTGTGATAATACAATGTATCTCCACCATTATAAGGCAGCAATGATAAATAACATTCACTAAAATACAACCATAATTTTCTCCAAAAATAGACAGGGATACCAGGGATATTACAGAATGAAAGAATTCTGGATATTTTCATTTATGGCATTTATTTATTTATGTAAATGCAGATATTTGTCTACCTACATTGAAGCTTGGCCATTGAATGTTCACATGTACTTAGTGGAATCATAGTGTTTATGTACATAAACACAACTTTATGGTTAAAGGGCAGTGGTCATTGCGCTGTGTCATGTTTGATATGGGACTCAAAGCGATGTACACAATACCTCTAAAATACATTGTTTACATCAAATTCAGTAAAGTATATACACTTTATAGGCAGCACGTAAGCACCTTGAGCGCAAGACATTTTAAAATAGAACTTCCAGTCTGCACAATAAAATAAGAGTAGCGTTCTTAACAGATTTGATGCTTAATATACATTTAAACAAACAAAAAAACATTAGGGCCGACTTTAAATTGTTTCCATAAACAGTACTTCCAATTACCAATCATATGTATGAGTATGTGAAATGAACTGATCACAGAGAATCTGTATGGTTCTGGAATTTAGAGTTTCCACAAAGGAGTAAAAACAAGACAAAAGTTTCAGTTTTGATTGTATTATGTCACTGTATAAGTGAGCAACATGCATATAGAATTTGCCCAGCTCACATGTAGGACTGGTTGTGAATGCAGTGCAGTCAAACATCAAAGGAAAAACTTACATAATCATTAAAATCTGATCACACCATGCCTTTCTGGATGAGAAATGAGGAGGGCAACCATTTTTAAATCAAATTGTATTCTAGATGGACCCTTTCTGGTTCCAAAATAAATATGTGAGACATGGATACATTTTTACATGCATACAACTGGACACAGACGAACACATGCACGCATGAACAGTGGTCAATCCATAAGTCCCCGTTTTCGGATTTTGTCAGAATAGAGAGAATGAGTAAAGACAATACCAAGTTTGAATGAAACCAGAACAGGCACACCAAAGACAAAAGAAAATCTATGGAAGTGTATTAGAAACAGGTAGAAGAAAGGTAAAAACAACATGGCCACCAGTCCACCATTTTGAATCAATTGCGAAACACAATGATGTACATCAGTAATTACCACGAGTAATGTCAACACCAATTTTGAATGGAATTGGCCAAGGCTTGCCTGAAAAACAGTTGAATGTTCAAATGATTTGGTGTTCTCCGGGACAAAACTGGTCACTAGTTGGTTGAAGGGTAACAAAGCAAAACACAAATCAATGTGCGATATGTAGTTCATTATGACATATGTAAGACAAAACACAAGTCCTCATTTCAGACTAAGTTCGACATGAACTAAAATGATAGCAGAGACAGGTAACGAAATACATTATAAAAGGTGCAAATATGATCACTAAGAAAATTATTATGTGGACATTTTCTATTGTTTTTTATAAATTTTGCAATTGAGGATTTGAAAAAAGTAAATGTGACCACAAAACCAACCTTATAACATAAGATGCATTCAACAGTGACTGGCCTTGAACACCTGCATGTGGCAAACAGAGCAAATTGAGCTGAAAAGTAATTTTTTTTTATAGTATATTTTGTTATAACAGCTGTTACAAGCAATATTTATATTATTTCATTGTATAAAATGCAACAACACTTTAGAATAATTGTTTTGTCGCTACTGGAAATCAGGAGTTTTAGAAAAATAATAAAGAGAAACAAATTTAACTTGTTTGATAAAATTATGTACAAAATGATAACTCTAAGCACTTTATTTTTGAGAGAAATTCTCTGTGAGTCAGGGAAAACTGTAACGACTTAAACTGTTTACATATATATATCGTCCCTCCGAAAATCAAGCTGAAACTTTTTGTGTCAGCAAAATTTGCCCCTCAAAATGCAGGAAATAGCGTTTCAGATGGTCTATATTTCAAAATATTTACTTACTTCCCAGTAAGGTCGCCCAAGGTTGGTGAGCAGATCCCCACCCCCCAAGAGTAGGTAGTCCCTATGGATACTTTAGTAAAGTGAACATTGTCGTCTGCTTTAGATGTGTAGGTACAGTGTTCGAAATTAACGTCGGTCAATCGGCCTCACGCCGACAGTGGGTGTAAAGGGCCTAGAGCTGTGAAAAATCATCAGTCCTTGTGACCGACCACAAATTTATATTTAAAAAAAAACGTTCCATTATTTAGTATGATTGCAAGACCAAATATATAATAAATATCGATAGGAACTCCAGAATTGTTTCAAAATTGCGTTTTCTTGCACGTTTGATCAACAAATGGCATCACTCATCGACCTGGGCATACGAGTCTTAATTCAAGCTTGTCGAATGATCGCGAAATGCGCCGAACGTGGGAACTGTAACAAACGATCTGATTGGTTGTAGGCCGTTCAAGCCTCCGATTCAAACCAATAGAATTCACGCTTACATTTTATGTTCCGCCATCTTTGATTTGCATCAAACACGCTGAAAACTACACAAACAGCAAGAATACGAACGGTCTAGGCGTAAACCACGCACATTCCAAATTAGCTGGCAGGCGGAGTTCAAAGACTGGTTACTTTT